GGGGGGGGGGGGGGGCAGGAAGCCCCGAGCAAATTTTCCTTGCTGCTGTAGCCTTGGCCCTGCTATCTAGAAATATGGGAGCTGCTCTGGGACTGGCTGGAAGATGTTGTGGCTCCACTCAGCTGGGAAAAGCCGCTGTTGCAAGATTCCAGGCTCGACATAGATCCCCTGGGATGGGACAAAACAGATATATTTGTTAGGAAGGCAGCTATTAATGGATAACTGAATACATTTGACAGATCAACTTATACTCTATGACACTTGCAAAAGTATTTTATTTTTTGTCCCATCATTTTCAACTTGGTCTCTAAGAATCTTTGTGTCATGATGAAAAATTAATTTGTTAGAGACATCTTTTCTCCTAGCAACAGAAATTACACCTTGTCTCTTGCAGTCAGGGAGTAGAACACAGCTGGAGCCTCTGTGGTGCTGCAATCACTGCTCCTGAGCAGAAAGGAAAACTCAAGAGCACTCTGAAGGCAGCACAGCTCAGTGGATGCAGCTCCCTCTGCTAACCTGAGAACTCCAGCCTGCTACGCATGAAAGTCCCAATTCCAGCATGTTCAGCCATGGTCTTCTGCCAAAAGCAGACTGGGTTCACCATAGCTGCAACAGCCTACTGTTCCTGACACGTTTTACACAGGTAGAGCAACAAAAAGCAGGTTTGAATGACTGAAGTGAGGAATTACTGCTGCTCCGACTCCACAGGATCTGGCCAGGTCACATTCTCAAGGTCGCCACCTGCCCATCTGCAAGTCTGTTCTACCTAACACTTCCTCCAGCTCCTAGTGAAAGGTCAAGTACTTGCAAAGAATTCAAATTACTGGGTGATTTGAAGAGTACTTCTAACATTAAAGGAGGCTAGGCAAATCCTGCCAAGGTTGATGCACTCACATATTCAGAAAGCACTCACCAAATCATGACTGACATCCTTCAAGTGCCAAGTGAAATATGTATGAAATAGCCCAGCTGATATTTGTTAAGTTACTCCAAAAGTAACTTCTCATAATGTTCCTGACTAAGATCAAAAAACTCCCCGGTCAAAAGCCTCCCCCTTTTCAGGTAGCTGTAAGCAAGAACTGAAGCAAAATTCCACTGCTGTAGGTCCTTTATTACTTACAGCACTGAACTAGATTCTTTGTGCAAAATGCCACCTGGTTTGTGCCCATCTAACTTATCAATAAACACACGCCCTGTGGAGGTCACTTGGATCTGGATGTTTACCTCACATCCAGTCCTCTCACTTGGTTTCTCTCTTGCAAATCGTACAGTAAATCCCTACCTGAAGTCCTTGGATGCAAGCACCTCATAGTAGTATATAAGCTTGCACTTGTGACTGGAAACTTGCAGAGAGGCAAGAACATCATCCACCCGAGGGAGGCTACTGCCGGAACAGGGCAGAGGGCCGTGCATTTTCCACTGGAGAATGTAAAAGCCAGGCCAACGAGTCACATGAGATCCCTGGGAAAGAAAGAGAGTGCCATCAGGTGACTACTAGGCATCTTAAATAAATGAATGACTTGGCAAAAGTCAAAAGAAAATACTGAGCTAACTACTTTGGGGACCATACACCATTCACTTATTTTACACACCAAAGCCACAGCCCTGTAATGCTAGTTGAAGAAAAAAAAAAGTTATTTTCAATTAGCTTTTTGGCATGGATTAGTGCATCTCCTTCCAACGGCTCAGTCTAAATTAGGACTGCAATAGCAGCCACTTTCACAGGGAATCCAGAGAATGATGAACACAGCAACTACTTCCAAACAATACATGGTTTCCCATGCCATCTATTCCTTCCCCTTGCCACCACTAGCCATTTTGGAGTTTTCTAGGGCTGTAGGATCCATACCAAGACTCAAACACATCTGACCTGGATGCTCTCCCCTTCCCGGCAAACCAGTGGAGATTCCATCCGGCTGTAATCCACCCCCAGGACCCATGTCTTGTCAATTAGCTGCACATTGTCCCCAGCAGCAGAGGTACTTGGTAACGTGGCTTCTTTATGATTTGTTTCAGGAGCTCGTTTGGAGTGAAAGAGGCTGAACACCACATCTCCCTTCAGGATGTCAAAGTCCCAGGTGATGACAGATTCCCCTTCCAGAATCTCCACAACTATCTAAGGAGGAAACAGAACAAGAGCACTGTGGAGTCAGGCCTTCAGGTGGCAGGCAATGTATTCCTCCCCACTCCGCAAACATGCTTCTCTCTACAATCCTTCAGCTAAGGTCTTGGTCTTGATTCCCAAGAAGGACATGGACTGATTTCCATTGCCAGTCTTCTGCCAAAATACATCTGCTCAGGCATTTTCACCCCATCTCTCCTCTGTATCAGAGCTGCTTGTAAATCATTTACTAGTTCTAGGAAAACCTAAATGGAGCAAAGCATTCAGGACACAGCACTTTCCGGGGGGCTGTGCACACCAAAAGGCACTGCTGCTTTCTAAGGAACCTAAGCAGGCCAAATCAGAGTTACTCATCATCAGTGAAGCTAGTTGACTGTTTTGACACTCAAGTGTTGGACATTATGTTTTCTGGTGACCCCCATCAGGCTGTTCCCAGCACATACCTTCTTACAACACCACTGCTGTCCTAGCTACGCCACTGAGTACAGAAGCTGTGCTGTCAGAAGGGAAACTGAGGGAAGCTTTACTTCCCTAAGAAGGAGGAAGATGACACTATCTTGCAGAAGATCAGGTCATAATAGAGATAAGAGATACTGCTTCTCAAGTTGCTGTTCTGAACTTCCACATTTCTAGCTGTTAGCTAGCATTAGCCTTCCTGAGAAAGGCACAGTGCTGCTGAACCATCTCATGCTCACACTTTGGGAGCCCTTCATTGTTCTAGTCAGCCCTAACAAAAGGAACACATCACTGATACCAGTTAATCACCTCCTTCAGCCTTATGAAGTTCTGGTTTATACCTCATGTGGAGCTCCTCTGAGTACACTCGCAGAATGATAGATAGTTTCTGTCCATAATCGGATGTGATCCGAGTTCTCTGGCTCCTCTTCTGTTTGATAAAGTGACTTGGGAACAAGCCCACCTTCTGGGACAGTACACTGGAAGAGTTCAACAAACAAATATGAGAGTTCATACTAATCTAGTGGTGAAGTATCAAGTTATCTGTACCATGAACACTCATTGGCTGTCAGACACAGAGGATGACACCCTCAGCTGGTATAAGATTTCATAGTGGGACTAAGTTTACTTGAACTATAATGGTTTACCTAAGCTCCGTTTAGAAAGCTGACCTCTAAACCCATTCTCCAGGGCAGCATCACCACTTCAGGGTGAAGTCTCCTGCGCACAAATTAACTGCACAGTGCTCAGAGTAGGGGCATCCCAGCCAGAACAGAGGTTAACCACCTCTCAGAAGGGAGTGGAAGGCCAAGGTGTTGAGGAGGAGGGCATCAAGGGAGCTTGCACACTGCAGACTCCACTTGCACAACAGGGAGGGAAACTCACCATGCAGTCTCCTCCCAGGAAGTCTGGGATCACGTCTTTGTCCACGTAGTCTATCAGCCCTCCTGGACCCTGGTAGTTATTCCCACTGTAAATGAGGAACTTCTGCCTTGTGTTCTCATTGATAAAGGGACTGACCTGAAATGAAGAGTGGACAGAAGACATCACTGCCACCAAGTGAAGTTAGAGACAGTGTTTTTACCATTTTACATGGATGCATTAGGCTCTAGACTGGAAGGCCTCATCAGCAGGAATGCAGACCAGCAGTAGTACAGAGCTTCACAACTCTGAACCAGTTCCCCAAAGAAAGGGGCAGCAAATGCAAAGTGTGCTATACCATCTCACAACATTTTATACTTTATGTAAAGTAAGTTTGCAGTAACCACACCACATATAAACCTCACAAGAAATTTAACTTACATTGTCAGAACAGGCATCAGGCAGAACAATATTTATTACTCTTCTCTTCAGTGTCCCTCAGCATGAGATTAAAAAATACTTGTCTTTTCCCATCAACATGAAAACCCACCAAGTTGGGCTACCACTGCTGCATGAGGATTTGCAGTTTAGGTCCAACATGCTGTCCTGCCCCAGTGGATGACAGCCCCTCGAATCAAGTGAGCTACAGGCCTCCTATAGCTTGTTCTGCAGCAATGCTGCAGCCTTTTCAGGAGTTCAGCACAAGATACCTGGAAGCTTCTCCCTCCTTTCAATAAGCAGAACTTACACTGACTGGATGATATAGTTATTTTTACATGCGTAAGTGCTTATGACACTGCAGTCCGGGTTTCACCCACCAGAGTCCAGAGCACAGGAAAAACCCTGGGTGCTCGCACTATCAACAGTCTCCCCAGAGTTTCAGGGTAGTTGTCTTCTACAACCTCAATTATCCGAAGAAGGGCCTTAACTCCAGGCCTCCAGAGATGCCGCATATTTAGCCCTTCCAGGTCCACCAGGCACGTCCAGGATCTAAAATAAGCCCACAGAAAAAGACCTGTCAGAATCTTCATTGCACAGTGGCTGCTCAGTTTATGATCCACAAAATATATCAGTAACACCATAGCCTGTATGGGAGTGACTGAAGCCAACAAGGGAGACCAGCAGTTCCAATAAAAAGTAGATCTCCCCTCAGGCAGCAGACAGCCTGAATCCAGTGAGCTTTCAAGCAAACCAGACACCCAACTACAAAGGCAAGAACATATGCTGTCAGTGTGGAAGAGGGTGAAGGAACACAGGCCTATTGCTACAAATACTTCAAAAATACGTTTTACATGTAAGTGAAATCTGGCAGACAGTTTCCTGTAAAAGAAAAAAAAAAGAATTTCATGGGTCTAGATTAAAATCAGCAAGATTAAATTTATCTGGAAAGTAGAAAGGAAGGATCAATACTTGCTCTCATATGAAGCTGCAGAATTTATCTGCATTCAAGTCCACTATATATGGGTTCCCCAAGCCCAGAAACAGCCCAAAAGAGAGACACTGCTGTCCGCAGTTTAACCCTAAAGGACATCACCTAAATCATTCACAGAAGCATTCTTCTCACCACGTCAGTTTAAACTCTGTAGGGATAAAAGAAAATTAGCTATACTAACGTGATGGGGTGGCCAAAGGTGTTGGTATTTTCCTCACATCTCTTTTGTCCTTCCTCATTAATTGACAGAACCTGAAATCAAAGACAGTGCAGACTAAGATAGCCTGAGCATGACTGAGAAACCAGGAAAGCTCAGAGATCATATTAAAAAAATATAGAACCTGGAAGTATACCAGTCTGGGAACTTGCAGTGTGCAAAACAGAATAGAGACTACAAAAAAACCTCCATCCTCTACTGAAAAGTTACACTGATCATACCAAGGTACGGAAACTGAAAATCTAGGGTGAAATATAAGACTCTCGAGATCAAGTGTCATTAGCAGAGCTGCATGAAAGGGCCATGGAAGGCTTACAGATAAACTGAAAATTATTGGAAAACACCCTTCTGGCCCATTTGTACCATTACAGAAGTTTCACTTCTGTCTCTGCAGGGAGACTGAGAAGCTACGCCATGCTAAAGTCACCAAGCCAACTTTGAGTTACCAGTGATGAAACACAGGAATTATTCGTGTCAGGCAGGTAGATCTCAGCTGCATTATACCGAGGCTTCTAACCACCCCAAGGGACGTAATGTTCCTCACGTGAGAAATGAAAGTACAGCTTACATGTCGCAGTAGTGATTCCTCTCCCAGAGCTTTCACCAAACCTTTTGTGTCCATCTGGCCAAGACGAAGGATGTAGAGTGGTCGTCCATCTTCAAAACAAGCATAAGGGTTAAAGAGGGAAGTGCTCTAGTCTCCCAGGCTAACACTCTAGTACCTTTTACAAAATCCACACTAAATATTTGAAAAGGAAAAAAAACATACACAAAGGCAACCTTATCAGAGAGATGCTGCTTTGCACTAGCTCTAGTCTGCCTGATCTGTGCAGAGAAATAACAAAATGACCAGCAGAACAGAATGGCTATTTACAGGTGTTGAACCACTTTGTTCAGTTTTAAAGTGTCAATACAACTTTCTCCAGAAATCCCAGGTTACTTATGAGGTCCTTTAATGCAAACTGTCAATGTAAGGAGCAGCTTCTAACCTTTGTCTTGATAATGCCATCCTCCGGTGTAATATTCATCTAAGAGGGCTGGGGGTCTCCATGACTGTAGGATGTAATCGACCTGGTACTGCTTTCGCCAAGACAGTGACTGACAGAGCATTTCTCGAGCTTTGTCAATGTTGAAGTCACGAGCCCGCAGAAATCTAAGGATATGTTCATCCTTGGGGATCTGTGAGAAGGGAAAGCCTGAGGATCAAGACTGCTATGTTACCTGTACCATGGTTCCATAAAGCCTGCAGAGCACACACCATTTTTTAAATTCTTAAAACTAAGATAACAAATATTAAAGCTACATCCCTCTCCCTCCCTCCTTAACTAATCCAGCTGGATGCAGCAGATGGTGCTAGGAGCACAAAAGATGTGACCAATTCACAGCCCGTGAGAAGCCTTTCACTGATCCGGTTGCCAGAAGCCCCAGCAACAATGGGCTGGCTAAAGTCTCCCTCAGCTTGCTATCCACAAGGACAAACACCACAGTGTATGGAAGTAAGGAAGCTGCAAGCGCACCTCCCCACAGCGCAAATTAGCGAAGGACAGAAAGCCTCCATACGTAACACATTAGCCAAGTGAAGCACGCGCTGTCTGGAGGGGGATCACAACTGTACACTCATCGAATGATTACCCACTAGCACCAATTCCAGCTCTTGTGCAGGCCCCTTCCTCTTCTGCTTTGCTGCTGACCATGCTCCCCTGGTGTTATTTGAACAGGAAAGCTTTTGAGTTCTCCCAAAAGGCCCATATCACATCACACTGACACCAAAACCAACACATCAACCAAAACTACAACATGCCGTCTCTCTATCGCTCATCCCAACACTTCCTATCAGTAATTCTAGCATCACGGGCCCAAAAGCTTTCCCAATCTAAGGCTGTAGAATGACTTATTCCAACCTCCGTCCAAAACCCCCATGTTCCCATAGCTGAAAAATCAAAGAAAATTTGCCAGGAATACTAAGCAGCAGGAATTAACAATAAACCGGACAGGCTCCACAGAAGGGCCAAATGTGACTAAAAGCTTGTCAGTCACCAAAGCAACTGGATTACAGCTGCATAATGCTGCTGATTTCTCTTCTCAGTCCCTTCACCCCAAGTCCCCCCAAAGACAAGTTTCCATTAAAAATTCAAGTTCTGTCAAGCAGGGATAGTCTCCTATAGAGTATCTGTACTGCACTTAGCACAACACAAGCTATCTGAGCCCTGCTGTAATACAAAAAAAACATGTGTTCAGGAGTCAAAGCTCCTTTGTTTGTCCCCTGACAAGCTCACGAAAACAGAAAGCAGGGAAGAAAGCAAAGCCGCCAGCAGCGTCAGGCTGGGAACAATCTCAGTTTCACAAGCTGGTATGAAGCTAGAAGAGATATTAAGAACTGATACCACCTAAAGAAAGGGGTACAGTTCAGGCTGCCTAAAGCCAAAACTAGAAGCACCCAAAGAGGAGATGGGAGATTAAAGCTGCTCAGCATATTCCAACACTGCAAACACTGCGTTTGTATGTCACCGAAAGGAAAAGGGCAGCCTTCCCAAATAGAATCTCAGATGTATTTAGAAGAATGCCACCAAAATTTTCTGGATTGTAGCAAGATGAAAGACAGCAGAATTTTCATCAGATGATTTACATTTGCATTTCTGCTGCTCAGAGGAAGCTGTTATTCACAAGACAGCAGACAAAACCCACAAACATTTACAATAGTCCCTGGATCCCCTGTGAGACCCAGGAGAGGGGATGGCCATTAGGAGGTTTTGGTGCTTTTCACGTTTCAAACTTAAGCTGTACATAGCTTCAGGTAAGAGGCAAAGTCAGTGCTTCTGTTTGGACCAAAGGCAGGAAGCCCTGAGGGGACTTAGTCCATAGTGGAATTAGTCTCTTTGTCCAATCAAAGCAGTAACTCCTATGTGCAAGAAATGATGTTTTCATTTCAGCCTGGCTTTCTATTTACTAGTGAAACTACATGTACTCTACATGGTGCAAAGCTGTTGATTACTAGCTTTAAGTATGTGCAATTTTAACACCATTTGAAGTTTCCTCAACTACTCAGATTTTTAAAGCAATGATAGATCTGATTCTAAAGGAAAATGTCTGCTTTGGAAGGAACAGGGAATGGATAGTGAAATAGGACAAAGAGGACAAAAATAAGAAGGGACATTTTCTGAGAAATGGAAGCTCTACAAATGTTTTTTGACAGAAGAATAAGGACATCCCTGCTCTGAATTAAAAGAGCAGATTGTCACCACAAGGTAACAGCCTCTCCTGAGAAAACTCAAGTCACATAAGAATAAGGTCCTGATTTTGTGTTATTGTGACAGGCAATCAAGAGAAGCAAACAGGTGAGTAGTTAAGGTGATTTAGGATGAAGTTTCAATAGCCAGCACCATCCTTCTTGTTCAAGGCTGCGTTGGGAACAGAGCTCACAAAGCCTACACAAAGGGCACAAGGCTGATCCTAGGAGCGCTCAGCAGCCAGCTGTACCTTGCCAAAGTACTTAACACAGCAAGCAGCTGTCAGGAAGAACAAGGGCTTGCACACACTCAGAGCTCCAATCACCCCAAGAGGCAGTTGTTTCACTTCTTGCTCATGTGCTGTCACTCCTACCTTCTATAGCTTCCATTCCCCAGCCTCTGACTCAGAGGGGAAAGAAAACTCACAACCCACAGAACAAAACAGGCAGATGTTTAGACTGTGCTTCTTCCACCTGAAACCAAGATCCTTGCAGATCACATGCATGGATAAAGTCTCACTGTCTTACTCTCATCTAGGGCTCATTTTCAGCTGGATACCCAATAGCTGAGATATCTCCTACCACACACAAGTCCACATCGTTTTACTGGACAGGTCACTGTAGACCTGAAAAGGCTCAATGTCCTATATTTCAGAGCATAACTATACCTGGGGATTGATCCCTGCCCTTTGTTTTGTGTCTGCTTGTTGTCAAACACCTTTTATCTCACAGAAGGTTGAATCTGGGGAGACACAGATCACAACCAATATTTAATACAGCCCATTTTATTAGTTAGGCTGTTATTATTAGCAGGTAACTATTCAAAGTTTACCCACAATTACCTGGTTAGCTGGGAGGCCAGCCCCAGCTCTTTACTGAGAGGCAGAGCATCATAGCAACATGACAGCAGTTTACAGGTGTTCAGACAGTCCTTCAAGGGTACCTTTGTTCCACTGGGTCTATATATATTCCTGCAGTCTCTACCTGCATCTAGCAGCCACTGTGCTCTTGAACATGGCCAAAGTTATACAACCTGTTGTTGATGCTACTGTATACAGCAGTCTTGGTCAGATTTGACAGATGCTTGGTGTTTTGAACTTATCAGCTCTTACAGATTCAATAGCATTGTTTAGTCTCTGGAGCTTATCAGCTGCTGGGAGACTTTTTCACACTACTTCAACACATACTGTTCTTCTCTTCAGCCTGTGGTTTTCTGGTAACTGTTTCTCCATCTACACTCACTGGTACCAACAAAACCCACACATACACTCACAAAGGGGACTTCTTCACAAGTTCAATAACAGAACTATAGCACTAAATCTTTATTACATTTTCTTTCTACATGGGTGATACTTGTTAGTTTTTCCAAGAAAAAAACAGGGCTTTATAAATCAAGTTTGAACTCCTTTTACTCAGATGAGACATAAGCTCTCTTAGCTCTGAAAAAGATACACCAAGGCATGTAGAAATTACTGACAAAGCTCCTTGCAGACAGTAGCCTCTTTTGGAAAGGCCAGTTAAAAGCAGAAAAAAAAATTTAAATCTTCCAAAGCTCATGAGTACCTCCTAACTCATTCTGTATGACCTTCTAAGTCAAAACTGTGACTATTGAAACCTTACCTAGCTGTACTCTGTTTTCAAGGGGGATCACTTGCTCCATCTTTCTCCTGTTTTCCCCTCTTCCTAAGCACTCTCTACTCAGCCCACCCAATTACTTTGCCCATTGTTATCCTTGGTCTGTCCTTCCTTCCCAATCTCTCTCCATCAGGAAATCCTGAGTTAGAACCCTCGAGGCATTCAAGCTGCCCTAGATCTTTTCTCAGCCACATACCACTTATCCTCTTGTCCTGATATAGAGACTCCCCTTCAGCCAGGAAGAGTCCAAGCAGCTGCTGAACATTACAGCAGAGCAGAAATTATATCTAGCCCACAGTACCTGTGGTGCTTTTCAGGGAAAAGTGTTTCTATCTATACTAGCTGGCCAACTCCATCTGTACTCGCCCCAGTCTAGTGCCCTCAGCTCCTCTATTTTAGAGGCTTACACAATGTACCTCACACCATAAGGCGAGACTGTCTCTACTTCCTGAATCCTGTGTGGTTCTGAAATAGTACATTTTGATAAAGGAGATTAAAACAAGAACAGAATGAATTCTCCTCAGAAGATTTCAGCCCTTGGCTGTACACAACCTGCCTGATATAACACACAGAGCACACAGCTGACATGCAGGAGCCGAGAGCTCGGTGCCACCAACTGCTTCTCTGCTGAGCAGCACTGCCCAGCGACAGGGGAAGATAACCCTTTCTCCCACCTCACCCTGCAGCTTTTGGGAAACACAACCTGTCCAGACAGGCCAGTCTGGGCTACTGAGCCCCGGTCAACGCCTACCCTAAATACATAGCAAAAGCTCTAGCCCTGGGGACCATGGAGTGGCCTTTTCAATACTGCCAGCACTGAACTGCAGTGCCAGTGCAGTCTGACACTGCTGGATCCTGCTGCAAGGTCACAAAGGCCATTCTCCACGCCTGGCATTTTACCTAACCTTGCCAAAACAGTTCACAGAATCACAGAATCATTCAGGTGAGAAAAGACCCTTGGGATCATCAAGTCTAACCATCAGCCCCACTCTACAAAGTTCTCCCCTAACCCACATCCTCCAACAGCTCATCTAAACAACCCTTAAACACATCCAGGGATCGGGACTCCACCCCCTCCCTGGGCAGCCTATTCCACTCTCTGACCATCCTTTCTGGGAAACATTTTTTCCTAATGTCCAGTCTGAACCTCCCCTGTTGGAGTTTAAAGCTGTTCCCTCTTGTTCTATTACTAATTCCCTGTGAGAAGAGACCAGCACCAACCCCTCTGCAATGTACTTTCAGGAGCTGCAGAGAGTGATGAGGTCTCCCCTCAGCCTTCTCCTCCTCACACTGAACACTCCCAGCTCCTTCAATCTCTCCTCACAGGATTGATTCTCCAGGCCCTTCCCCAGCCTCGCTGCCCTCCTCTGCCCTCGCTCCAGCCCCTCGAGATCTCTCTCCTATTGAGGTGCCCAAAACTGGACACAACCGTCCAGGTGTGGCCTCACCAGTGCAGAGCACAGGGGGACTGTCACCTCCCTGCTCCTGCTGGTCACACTATATCTAACACAAGCCGGGATGCCGTTGGCTTTCCTGGCCACCCGGGCACACTGCTGGCTCCTGTTCAGCTGCTTGTGAATTAGAACCTCCAGATCCTTTTCTTCCAGACTGCTCCAGCCACACCTCCCCACAGTCTCAACACACAAATTGTCCATGACCCTGGGGTTTTTGGGAGGGCTGAAACACACAAGCTGTGAGAACAACTGTTCAGGCTTGCAAAGAGGGGTGCTCTGCCTCACCTACCCACCTTGCCTTTGTGCGTTTCTTGGAGCCACTGGCGAAGGCGGATCAAGCAACTCTCTTGCATGGGAGTCAGCTGGCCCAGATATCGCTCAATGTAATCAGCATCCAATTTGTCAGCTGGAGGAAATAAAAAAGAACAATTCAGTGGAGACTTGGCAAAACCAGGAAGGAGATGTACAGTTATTTCTATACGTAAGGTTACTTATGATTTGCACTGGAAGAGTGTAGGAGCCCTCATTTTAGCTACCTGAGGGAAGCAAGTGATATTCTTATTGTGATTAGGGCATGAAGACACAGACAGCATCTAAGGTATCAAAGCTGGATCACTCTGTCTGTCTCTTAGAACACTAATATTTCATTCAACCCTGAACTGCTCCAGCAGGAGCTTTAAATTAAATACCATGAGCTTTGGCACTCATCTCATTAACCACTCCAAGACCTGGGCACTTAAATCCCCTGGTGTCCTAAAGATCTCACACACAATTCCAATGACAAGAAGCTAAAAATCTGAAAACTGAAATGTTGTTCTGCTTACAGACACCAGAAAGGAAGGGAGAATAACACTATCACTTCTGACAGCAAGGGAGATTTTTGGCATGAGAAGAAGTCCTGTGCATACCAGCAGCTCAAGGCCCCTCCAGACAAGAGACAAAGGACAAGGGGTTTGAGACTGCCAGCATTCACAGAGAGAAGCAGATGTGCCATCTGAGGCTTGTATGTGCAGATACCAGTAAGGAGAATGTGGTACCCAAAGGGGAGCAGCACCGGCCACTAGCTGTGCTGGAGGCATGCAGGCACTGCAGGAGGGCTGGGAGGACCACCTCTGAGCTAGCTCTTCATCAGGAAAGATTTTTTTTTTTTCCCCAGCAGATACCATTAACTACAGAATAAAGCCCAGACACCCACAGGATACACTGTTGCTGACTGATAACACAGAAATTATATTTTCTAAGTGCTACACCCTACTGAATCCACAGAGCTAGCAAGCTGGGGAGCAGTCCCAGGGAAGCTCATCACTTCCTAAACATGAATAGAAGCAGAACAACAAGAGCTACTCTCCTCTTCTACTAGATGTGGTCTGCCACTCCTCAATTAACTTTAATCCCAAAGCACATGAACATTTCTTATAGTCAGTTATGGATTTTAATAATTTTTTCAGATGGATTCCAATACAGACAAGCTACTAGAGAAGGTCTGATAAGACCAGAACCACTGATGGTTCCAAATTCCAAGCTTTTTCCCTAGATACACTCAGCAAAACAAGTTCTGTTTGAGGAATGACAACTCCTGTTTCTAATACCACAGCTCTAAATTAAAATGTCCCTCCTATTTCTTTTTGTTAGAGAAGAATTTTATTTAGTCTAGAAGATATCATCAGATCAGCACACAAAAAGGTAAGTCCAATTCCGACATTTTGTGTGAAAAATGCATTAGGCAGCATTCTGCAAGTATGTCTTGGCCTGATATAGGGGAAAAAAAAAATCCATCCAACCAATCCCCAAGAACATTAATTTTGAAACAGCCAAAAAATTTCATTATAATTCAATTAGAAAAACCTTTAAGTTTCTCCAATTTAAGGTATTAAATACCTTAAAGGTCAGATCAAAACCAAGTTTTTTTCTGAGCTCGAACAAAAACATACTGCCTGCACAGTTTTTCTTGGCTTTTCAGCTTTGGGGAAAAAAGTTCCATTGTTTGTGTTTTTCTTGAAGAAAGAAAATAACTTTCCCTCCTCCCCACCCACAATCCAGAAGAAAAACTTCATGCCAAAAAAATAAAAATAAACTCATTAGTCAGTGCTACTCAAGGCAATTAGATTGCCAGCAGCTGCTACTGCCTGGACATCACATACCATCAGGGCTGACAGCTTCTGCTGGAGGGCAGGAGCTGCCAGTTTGCTCTTTGGTAGTTCCAGGAGCCCCCGACTCCAGTGGTACGTCATCAGCATCGTGTCCACCAGCTGGAGTTTGCTCATCCTTCTGTCCACACACTGGGGGAGGTGTCCAGCGGGGGATGAATGTGATCCCTTGGGAAATCAACTCCTTCAGATAGTGCTCAATCACTTCCTTGCCCTGAAGGGGAAAACTCTTATTAGGAAAAAAAACAATCCTATATTCCCAGAACCAACAAGGTGCAGAAGAGTTTTCCTCAGGACAGATGACTAACACTGTCAGAGAAACAGAAGAGAAATAGTTATCTCCTTCCATCTGCATGACCCTGCAGGGAAAATTTCAGTATGAATGCACCATACAAATGGTGAATTACAATATTGGCAAGGCAAATTCCAATGCTAAGGATACTGCTACCCTTATAATACTTTTATCCCTTTCTCCTGCTCCCAAACTATCAGTTAGCTGCCCAGAGGAAAAGGCCACCAAAAGAAAGTGCCTCTGCTCATCTCTAGAGAGACAGGATGCTGATTTTTACCCAGAACTTTCTCTTCCTGCATGAGAACAGTGTCCTCAGTGTTTGAGGAGCCTGGCACCCACAGCATCCACTGCGATCCCCCTCTGGTACAGCCTGCTCCCTCCCCTGCGCAGACACATTCCAGTGAGCAGATTGTTCTTCTGCTCATTGCACACTGAGTTTTTTCTTCGTTTGCCCCTACTGAGTGATTTCAGAGACATAAGTAAGGGTATAAAACTGGATCTACTTTATAAAAAAGAAAATAGAGGCACACTGAGAGCAGGCATTTGATTTTGGTTTTTATGGCACAACAGGAAACCCAACTTACCCGCTTGATGTTTGATGTGTACTGCTTCATGGCAATTTTCTCCACTGTGCTTTCAAAGCCAAAAAATGACTTGATGTCAAGAGATGCAGACTGTTCAAAGCAAGTCCACTCTTCGTTCTCAGGGTGAACCTAAGCCCAAAGATACACACAGGTAGGGCTGGATGGTAGCAGACAGCTCACAATATGGCAGGGCTCTTGCCCCTGGAACCAAAGTGATTATTTAATCTCCAGAGCTACAGAGGGAGGCAGCAGAAGAGCCTTCTTATGAGGCACTGACAGACCCATATTTATCAGTCAGATTAATGCTCCCAGAGTAGTAGAAACACATCATGAACTGGACATATGGACGTTTGTGGTTTATCCAGCATTCCCCACATGCACAAGGAAGTCAAGATTAAAACCCATCTCTACTCAAGCAGATCTAAACAATAATGTTCATAGCAAAAGTTGCACTAAAATAGTAGTGAGGCTGCCCACTTGAAACCATCATGTCAAGATCTCCTTATGGAAAGATAGGGATGCCCTCTAGGAACATGCGATTAAAACCCCCTACATCTTCAAAGGAAGATAAATGCAAAGTGTTTCTAGTTTTGGATAGGAAACTCAGCCACTAACGTCAGTCTTCCCTCCAAAACACGGGAGACATGGCAGAGTGGGGAGTCTTTCCACTATCAACTCAATATACATCTTTCCTTTCCAGCCATTTACCCTCCAGTTACTCTCTATATGGTAAAAACCTATATAATCTTTTAAACCTAACCCTCTTCCTTTTCTCTGTAGGTGCTGCTGTTCATAAACTGACATGAAAGAAAAAAATTCCAGCCCACACACAAAGATATGAGCTCTATAAAGGACACAAATTGCCCCAGGGAGATATTAAGTTACTGCAAGAGCAGGATCATATTTCTCCAAGCTGCTTCAGAGAACACTGCAGAAAAAGAATGATGAAAATAAACCCGTTTCCGGTGCGCTCTGGCAGGGAAAAGGAAACTGGTAAAAATAGAGCAGGGAACCATCTTGAGGATGCAGAGCGCGAGCTCCCGCCCTGTTGCAGGAAGAGCGCTCCCCGCAAAGCCCAGCTGCTGATGTTTCCTTCCGGAGGACAGCAGCCGAAGGCAGCACAGCCCAAACCAGTAAGTGCAACAACGTCTGAGCCATTCCCGAGTTGACCTGAGAATGTTTCAGAACTGTTGTCAGCGCCTTTCACAATGATGGAAGTTTGATTTTCTGTAGTTTTTCGGAAGCCCCATGTAGCCACCTAGTGATATCTGGCACAGGAAATCCCCACACCATCCAAAATGGTAATAGCTTTTCGACTCTGTCTTGCTTGAAACAGAAGCTACATAGAGTTTGCTTACCCCTAAGAAGCTGAGCCGTTGTCCAATTGCCAAAAGGGCAGGTAAGTAACAGGATCTGGACTTTTGTTTAGGGAACAAAAAGCAGTATCTGATTGCTTCCAGAAACAGATGAAGCTATTTAATAGTGACTGAGCCCTAATAGCACAATTACAACAAAGTAGCATGCTGTTGCTGAAGGTACTGCCACAAAGACACCCCAGGCCACAAATAAGGTTTGAGACCTTTCTCCAAATATTTAAAGCATGAAGATTATGACAAGGTGCTAAAATCACTTATTTGTGGGCCAAATTAATTGCCAGATTTTCCTCTGGCCCTCATCATAAGAAATGTTAAGCATTTCTTTTTAAATATACATATCTAAACATACACCCTAGATCCAGATGCTTTTACCTTGAATTTTAACCAAAAAGAAACTCAGGTAACGTCAGCAGCTGATGGAGCACCATCCATGTTTTCTATTCTCATCCTGGGGCCTAACACTCCAATCAGAGATCACAATCAATGTAAAAAACTTTCTCAAGCCCTAAAAAAGCACTGGAAAAAGCCCGCACCCTGAGACCCAACCACATTTCCAGTCCAACAGTATCTAATCACAGCACACTACCATCCAGTGTTCGAATTCATTCAATCAGTTTCACCCTATACGTTTCATGCATGACATTCCTTCACAGACAAATAGAAACAGAGCACTTACTGAGTAGCTACATGTCTCAAGGACAACAACACGGTTGGCAAAAGTCTCATTGTGGGCTTCAATGCGGAGAGTTCGCTCTTTCCAGTTCACTGTGTTTTTCTGGATGAAGAAAACATACTCTACCCCTGCAATCTGAGAAGGATAAAGAACCAGGAGCGGGGGGAAAAAAAAGATAGTGAGAAAGAGTAACTTTAGGAGCCTTTATCTATCTGAACCAGCCAACAACACCCAGGACTCCTTGTCCCCTAGGTTCCACTTGCCTTCTTCAGCAGCCTAGGAGCATCCACATTCAGTTTGCAGCTCCGCTCAATAATATGTATAGCTCCATCATCACTCCTGGATTCATGCAGGATTTCACTCCCCAGGAAGACTGGAATCTCTGGACATGTAGGAAAGCGCTTCTCATATGCCTGGAAGTGAAAACAAAGCAAGCTTCAGCTTCCGGCTAGATCAACTTTAACTCATTCTGATTTAATTCCCTTACAGGGAGAGTCCAACAAAACAGAGGCCCTTCACCTCAGAGAAGGGGAGCCAATGCACGGGTTGAAGCTAAAGCTGTGTTATGAACAAAGCCAGCATCCGCTCATTTCAGTCATCAAGCTAAGCATGTCTTAAGACAACTTGTCTTTCACACATGAATTAGAAACAGAAGCCTGTTAAAGACTACTAGAAAGAGTACTAGGATAACAACTTGAATGTCAGGAACTGAATCTTTACCTAGCAAAAGCAAGCACAGCTCCACTGAATTCTGCTAAAGACTTGATCTAGAAATAATAAAATTCAGGTTAGGCATATTGCCTGCATATGAAGAAGCTATTTTAAAATATTTAATAGTCCTATGCCTTAAAATTTGATGTGTTAAACAGTTCTAGTCTGTCAAGGGTAAGACCACCAATTACTGGCTACTCATTTTGCCTTGATTTATCCATTTCTAAAACAATTCTGTGCTGGTTCTGAAATCTTCCTTGTTTTAATTAACCACATCCCTCTGAAAAGCTGATTATCCAAAGCTTCTTTACCAGCTCTAGCAAAAATCCAGCTTTCCATGGCACCTGCAGCAAACAAAGTTAACTTACATAAATGGTACCTTCTGTTGCTCCTCTTTCCCCAACTTCTTCATCTTTCATTAAATTTCAAGATCTTTGCAGAATGGAATGTTTTCTTTTGATTTCAGAAAAATACCTTGCATGTTGTGATGCTATTGTAAACACATATTTGAAGCAACACAAGCACAAGCTGCACAAGCAGCCCAGGATTCAGCTACAGCTGTGACAGGAGAAGAACCTGTGCTATTTTTCCACTGCACTCAGAGCTGCATCATTTTGGTCATAAGATTTTTTTGCTATCATTCCACAGCTGAGCCTAACCTCTATGAACTGCTGCCACCTTCCTGTTTTCTATAAGACACAGCTAACAAAAACAGCATGTAATTCTCTCATCAGTATTTCTATTTTTATCTACCACAAAAGAAAATATTAATGTGATAATGATTGAGATCAACTCAGTTGTCAGCATACACACAGCACCACAGGCACGCTCAGGGTGGCTGCATTCTCTGTTACCACAGCAGTTTGAAGGCTGGTTGCCCCGCACATACGTACCCTGGTGCTGTGAGTAATACCTGATCTTAAAATAGCTCAGGCACTTAAGGACAAGTTCCATATCTCCTGCTCCTAGGCCTCTGAACAGAGTAGAAGTTATTTCAGAGTATCGTATTGCTCTAGAATCAGAAGGAAAGTGCAAAGCAGACTACCAGCTAGAGTTCTGGTCATAAACAAAGTGCACAGTTATTAAATCATCCTCTCCAAGTCGCTGAGTTATGTTCTGCTTGCCTTGACACATTTCTTTGAGAGCTTTTCCCATATCTGTGAGGCCTCTACCTGTGCTTTTCACTCCTGATCACAAGAAAATCTAAACCGGTTCAGAAAAATATAAAAACTTCCCATGGCAAGTGACTGTTTCCAACATCAATCCACCTGGGTCCATGCAACAAAAGCACTCTCATGGTTTTAAGAAGATTGATTTGTTATGATGGGAATTCATGGATGTATGTCAGGCACTACTGCAGGATGCTTCCAGCTAACCACCCCTGGCATACTGCACGTTCCTCAAGGGTCACACAGAGCATAAGGGGTGCATCACTTACTGCCTGCTCTCTAACATCTGCAGCTGCCAGCACATTAATCTTCTCAGGTAAAGTTAATACTTCCTACTTGTGTCTCCACCTGCCCTCTCCCAATCCTCCAGACTCCAAATCACCACCTAGTGCTGAGGTCAAATTCTTTACCTTACTAATCTTTTCTATTCTAGCACATACAAGAGTCTCTCCAGGCCACCTACACCACCCATTCCTAGTTACCAGAGTCTCAGCATTCAGACAGTGAAAGCTGTGAACACCTTTGTAGGCCAGCAGAACACCAGAATATTTAGCAACTTTTTTTCAACTGTTTGTCCCATGCCACTCCTTAGATGTGCCCTTAACACACTTGCAAAAAGCACAACTGAAAACCCTACTCTAAAGAAGGTTGCCCCAGTTAATCCCATTTGGTAAAGAGCAGCTAATGCAGAGGCTAGACAACACCTTGCCAGAAGAATATTCCTATTTCGGACCAGCTAAACAATGTCTGGAGAATGAAGAAAGGTCCGGGCAGAGAGGCACATGTCTATGCAGAACACTAGTGATATAACTAAAATAACAGCCTGAACCCATCATCTAAATAGGTGGAACATTTCCATATTTGAGAAAGAATCCCTTTCGCACAACAATATTAAGTCCTTTGATAATCTTCTTTGCACAACAACTCTAAAAATACAGCAGCCAAAGATGCCTGAGATCATATGAAGGACAGCTGAGGCACCACGCTGCAGTCACAGTAAAGTTGCACTGCTAACATGCTTGATCTTTCATCACTGAAGAGTCTGAGCTATCAGGAGAGAAACTCATCTTCTGCACCCAGCATCCTCTTATCAAAATCAGTATATATACGCAGCAGTACAGTAGAACTTCCCTATAGACATGGAAGCATTTTAACTTTTTTTCAAGCCATCGCCAGAACTAGCTGTTATTTTCTTCTTCTCTATGATTCTTCAGAGTGCAAGATGAACAACAGAGTACCCCAATCAAACGAAAGGCACAGAGGTCTTAATATGAGCTTGTTTTAATACTTCAGCTGCATTTGCTGTTTCATCTCCTTGCTGCAGTAACTCTGCACGGACTGGTATATAGGAACTACGATTTGTCTCTGCCTTCTGTGCCCCTCACTCCCCAGAGTAACAGCAGTACTGGGCCACTACCTTCTCTTAACTGCATACCCACAACACTGCTTTAACACAATCACCTTGTCTCGAACAGGATCAAATATATATATATAAAATGAGTGGCTCAGTGAAGCTACTCCTTCCCTTCTTCTAAACCCTCCCAACATTAACATCACCAGGCAGAACCAGCTAACACACTGTGCACCTCCTGCAAACCCGCCAGCAGGCCACACCAGATCCCAGCGTGGGCTCCTCTTCCAGCATAGTCAGTCTCTAGTATTGACTTCACACCAGATCCGACTGAAGAAAACCCCAAGCCGCAGGAGGGCAAGCCAGAGCACTGCATACACCTGGTTTACCAAGCAAACTCTCTCACAGTTTACAATAGTTATTTTCTTGAAGGTTCAAATTAATGTGCTCTCTTCATCCCCAAAACAACTTTCACAAGAGATGGTGGTTCAGGCCCACCAGTGCCTTTTCTTAAATCAAGCTGGTTTTCTCTAGATTTCTTACAAAAGAATTGTTGCAAAAAACGGTGCAATGCTAGTTGGTTTTGTATATATAATGTGAACAACATACAAGTGTCATTTAAATCTTTGCAGTCATCTCCCTCAGACAAATTACATATTAAATTTCACAAGAGAGCTGGGTGAAGACAAGAGGGATTTGGGATCTGTTTGAACACCAAGATATTTTACTTGGAAAGATAACCAATTGTTCTTGGGTGCATTTGAAGTGTTAAGAAAAAAAAAATCATTTAGATACATCTGACAGCCTGTTGGAATTGAAAAAATTTTTTAAAAGTGTAAATTTTAAAATTTATTTTCCAAGTGAAACATAATTTTTAGCCAAGAAAACTTAAAACATGCAGGAAAGTTGTAACAGACACTCAAGTTTTCAGTAGTGTCAGATCCTCCTTTCACACTGAAAGGAAGATGAGGAAAATTTGTGCCAGGCTGCAGCACATGTTTGTGTGAACGTGCCACCGGCACAACCTGACTCTCTGTCCCAAAGCATCTCAGCAAATGTGCTGCGGGAACACGCATGGCCAAGCAGCCACTGGGTCTGCCACGGCACGGGGTGCTGGAGAGGGGGGCTCTCCAGCCTCACCGCACAACCCACATCAACAGTAGCACTGACAGGACTACCTCAAGCTGCTTACACAGTGACCTCTGCATCCCAGCCATGACCCCTTAGTGCCACAGAAGCTGACAAATGATGACACTCACCGAGCAACAATTAATCAGCAGTGATATGGCTGACTGTGAAATCAGAGTGATTTGACCAAGGTTTTGCCCTGCAATCTCCTGGGTGATGTGGCTAAATGGTTTTACCTGTGTTGGCCAAACGAATTATGGGACCAACACTGTGACAGATGAAAGTCAGCTTGTCAAAAGGGTTGAGAATAACAAAGGGAAGCCACACTTGAGTGTTCTTAACTGTATGTCACATATAGGATAACCAGTACAAAAAATGCATCTGTGAGAAGAGATGGCCCTGAAGGTCTGCCAGATGCCCAACAAGAACAAGTTAGACAAGAACACAAGTGTCAAACCAAAAAAGTTAACATTCTAAAGCCTCACAACCACAGAGAAAAGGGGAAATTACCCTCCTCTACAATCCCGCTACTTCACCTGCTTAATTCCTTTCCCCTCCGGAGCACAGATTCCTCTCTGAGTCCTTCATCTCAATACTACCAAGGTCTTACAGGGCAAGCCTGTTCCTGCTCCCCACTTCAGTTTAATCTCCAGTAGACTGACAATAGCCATATCACTGATGTTCCCTGTAGGATCCAGAGAACACGGCCGGAGGGCAGGATCTTTTGTAACAGCTACTCCCGTTTCTCCTCTGCAGGTTTCAACACCCCCTTCTAGTAAGTGACCTTGAAATCAATTACATACCAGAGGCCTTAGGAATCCAAAACAACAGGGACATCCAAGCACTGAATTACTGCATGAAACAAAACACCTCAAAACAAACTCTCCTGCTCACATGGAGGCTCCTGGCAGTTTCTTCCAGCTCAGTGTTTACTGAGTCCTGAGTGGTTCCAGCGTGCTCCAACAAGAGGCAGCTTTTGTTAAATGATCTTGTTTCATACCTTAATATCCTAGAGGGAATGTTATCATCTCAGTCTTAGGGCTGCAAACCAACT